ATATATATATATATATATATATATATAGTCCTTTTGTCTGGTGGGGAAAAAAAATTCCCTGGAACCTAACCCCCTTATTTACATTCATTCTTATGGGGAAATTGGATTCGCTTAACATTGTTTCGCTTAAATTCGCATTTTTCAGGAACATAACTACAACGTTAAGTGAGGAGTTACTGTATATCAGCTAATAATGGTAATTCTTGGTCATAGGCTCAGGGCTAAGTTGATCACCAAATGTGAGTCTCTCAGAAATGAATTCACCATCCACTCCAAGTTGTATTAGCTAGGACCCTGGAGAGTTTTCGTTTCCTAAGGAGAATTGAGCAGGGATTATTCAATATATTAGGAGGGTATATCTCAATCAACTTTCTGCTGCAGCAGGAGAAGAGTATGGAGCACCTCAATCCTATATACATTGAATAGCATTGCAATTATTTTACCTAAAATTAAAATCACCTGACCGCCTCTGACTTCAGGGGGGTCAGGAGGAAATTTACCCCTGCAGTATATCTTTGGCCTGTTGCATTGTGAGTTTTCTGGTTCAATTTTTGCCTTCCTTATAACTAGACCAGATGGACCAGTTGTCCATTCTATTATAGCAATTTCTATATTCAAAGAAAGAAAAAGCAATTTAAGTCTGATTCTAGTTGAGAATTGGAAGAATGCAGCTGTCTACATCCCCCCTCTGCCCTTTCCTCTATTTTTGAAAAATAGATGTGGGGAAAAGTTTCACTGGGATTCAAAAGTCAACTTTCAATTGTACTTTGCAGTGAAAATCAATTTAAACATACTCTTGCATTGCATATCCCCAATGAGCCACTTTAAACCTTCCCCACATTTAGCAACAGGATCACCAACAAGAGAATAACCATCTCTGCAGGCGTAAACAACACTTTTCCCGACAGGATATGAGGAATCGGCATTCTGAAAGGAAATAAATAGGAGAAGCTTTGAATGTGAAACAAAAAGTGTGTAATAACCACTAAAAATATCAAACTTTTTTTTGGTTTCTAAGAAATCTGACAGAATTAACTGAGCAAATACAATTACATGGTTTGTAGGATTTTACCTTTATCTTCTGAGATAAACTAATACATGCAGGGTGATAACCATTGACTGGGAAAACAAATGGCAAAATACATGTTAGGGTCCAATCCCTCAAGCCCTATTCATTTAGGTAAACTCAGTGGAGTAAGGGTTTTCAGGGTCAGGCCATTAGATTTTAGATTTTTTTTTTTAACTGATTCCTAGTTCATTTGAGGGAAGGATGTTTCTTGCACATTTCTCCAAAACCTACAGTATTGCTATAAGTGTTAGTTATTTCTCATAGCAACCAAAAGGGTGCTAGGCACCTCACAGTATGGATAAGACATAATCTCTGGTACAAGGAATTTACAAGCTCTCTTGTTACTCCCTTGTTAAATCACGTCTGAGATTAGGCCCAATCCTGCTGCTGCAGGCAGTTGGACCCCTATGCGTGTGTGGAGTCCTGGTGGGGACAAAAAGAGTGTATTCCAGTAGTTAGGGCACTTGACTTGGAGTCAGGAGAGCTGGGTTCTATTCCTAGTTCTTCCGCCAATTTGCTGTGTAACGCTGGGCAGCTCACTTCACTTCTCTGTACCTCTTTCCCATCCTGCCCTTTGTCTATTTTAAATGTTAAGCTCTTTGAGGCATGGACTCTCTTACTATGTGTTTGTACAGTGCCTATCACAACAGGGGCCCTGATCTCTGTTGGAGACTCTGGGCATCGCGGGTAATAAAAATAGGAGTAAAGGGGGAGAGGGGAGAGTTACAAGTAAGTAAAATAAGTCTTGGCTAACTTCTTGTAAACTTTATCCAGGAGGAACATGCTAAAGAGATTTTCATACAGCATCATATTAAATTGATCAAGACTAATACAGAGTTGTAGGGGAATTGCTATGAGTATATTAACTGCAGCTCCAGTACTGCAGCTCGAAACAGATCATAGATTAAGTAATAAAGAGAACTTTTTTATAACCTACTTGAACAAATCCATTTTGTAAGAGTGGGGGAGGTGAGCAGAATTCTGTGGGGATTATGGACACATCAAAGCAGTGTGGTTCAATCAAACTGTAAAGCAAAAATTTTAAGATTGTGATTATTTTTACTAAATGTAAGAGGGTTTTTTGACATTCTTTCTTCTAAAACACTGCCCTTCTCAGAGAAGCCCCTTTTCAGGGCCAGTCTGCATTCCTTTAAGCCATGATCAAACTAAACTCATTTATCATGTGTTTTTGAGAAAGCATGTGAAGACTAGAGTGAAGTTAAGCTCATAGGCTTCACCCTTTTTTCCAGATCCACTTCACATCTAGGTCACAGCTCCTGAATTTCATTTTATTTCAGGCTTGAACAAACACAAAAACTTGATGCTTTGGTTTAGCTAAAGCCACTGAATTGCTGTGACAGTCCAACAAATTATAAGTCGTTTTGAGTCAAAATCATAAATTGCCCCAGATCTCCCACTTTACATTCATGCTCAAGGTTTTTCCACTTACCGAAAATGTTGCAACTCCTCATCCTCACACTGTCTGCTTTCAGACTGTTCTCCAATGCAGGATATCCCACCACCACTAGGTGGTGGATTATTGCAGGTTCGACTCCTTGACTTCCTTCCTCCTGAGCAAGGACTCCAAGGGGACCAGCAACTCCACCTTCCATCAATGACTCCTGTGTAATGTTAGAGTGAGACTTTACATTATAGGAATATGCAGGAAATTCTATTGTCCTCTTAGTAGCTGCTGGTATCTTAAAAGCAGGAAAGAACAGTCAAAGCTAATGATGATCCCAAACCATTATCTTGGAGCTGAATCTAAGATCTCACTATCATGGATCCTAGACTTTTCTTGCTTGTATTGCTTTTACACTGGTGTAATTCTGTGGATTCATTTCTGATTTATACCAGAATGAGTAAACAGAAATGTAGCACCATACTACAACTGGACAAAAAAAATGAATGTGTTCCTGTTTTACAAGATGTGAAATGGACCCATTTTTCATTTTTGTTAATTTACTCCAAAAATGTTATTGAACGCTGCATAGCAAAAACAATAATTGTGAAACTCAGTTTGTCAGGGGAAGACCAGCATAATATTAGTCACTGGTGCTCTTTGAATCCAAACTTTTATTCAAGTTTAGATTAGTTCAAATAAATCCATGCAATCCAATACTGATCTCTATGCTCTTATACCCTCCCTGCACACATACTCCTCTCACAAATCTCATCCCTCGTTGCATCACCACTAGAACAGTCGTTCCCTTTTCTCTACTCATCAGTGGTATTTCACGTATCGCAGGACACAAGTAATGTAGAAGCCTAGGATATTGGCAAATTTGAAAAAAAAAAAAAGCAGTTTGCTCTAGTGGACTGAGTACTATACTTTGAGTCAGGAGTTCTAATCCTGACTTTGTACTTAACCTTGGGCAAGTCAACTTTCAAGCTAGATGCCTAAAGTAAGGCACTTAAATAATCAGAGGGGCACATGACACAAATTCTACTTTTTTCAATAGTATTTATGGGTGCTGGATACCTCTGAAAACTGGGCAATAGTTTAGGTGCTTAAATGTGCACTTAAGTGTCTAAGTTTGATTACCTTCCCCAGACCTGAAGAAGAGCTCTGTGAAGCTCAAAAGCTTGTCTCTCTCACCAACAGAAGTTAGTCCTATAAAAGCTATCACCTCACCTACCTTGTGTCTCTCATATGCTCGGACAGACACTGCTACAACAACATGGTAATCAATGTGGTTAGGCACCCAAGTTTGAAAATTCTGGCCTTGATCTTTTTGCATCTCAGTTTTTCTATTTGTAAAATGGGGATAACAGAATCAGAGAAGCAAGAGATGGAAAAAATCTATTAATCCATCTAGTCCATTTGCTTGCCAATGCAGGACTGCTCTCACTGTTACTATTATTGTCAACAATACTTAAAGAAAATACTTGGAAAATGTAAAGTGCTGTATACAAATATTAAGCAGAGACACATAGTCTAACAGAGAGGAATACTCCCCATACTCATTTAACCTCTGTCCCTTGGCAACCTGATGCCCTCAAAAATCCACTTGACTTTTAGAGGTTGCTGGTGCCCAATATCAGCTGCACATTCAACCTACACAATAGCACTGATCGTATCATTGCAAGCAGAAAAGTATGCTTTAAACTTTTGAAATCTCAAAACAAATGCGTACCTACCTGGTTGATCTTGTACAAGAGTTCCGAGTTCACAAGCTGCTCCAAACGTATAAGGTTTGCAGAAACAGAGGCACTGAGTTTCTACTATGGCAGGTTCGCCACCATTTTGACATGGTCGACATTTGCAGGGATCATTCTCACTCAGATACTCTTCAATGGCTAGTTTCAGGTAATGCCTTTTAACTGAGGCACAGGACACTTCCTTTACCAGCTCATACAATGGTGTTAGCTAAATGCAATAAACAGATATGTCTTAAATTTAAAAACTACATATTTTAAGGGTGTCACAGTTTAATAACACATTGGTCATGTAACATATTTGGAGATAGAAGAACAGGAGTACTTGTGGCACCTTAGAGACTAACAAATTTATTAGAGCATAAGCTTTCGTGGACTACAGCCCACTTCCGAAGAAGTGGGCTGTAGTCCACGAAAGCTTATGCTCTAATAAATTTGTTAGTAGTACTCCTGTTCTTCTTTTTGCGGATACAGACTAACACGGCTGCTACTCTGAAACCTGTCATATTTGGAGATGTATATTGTGTGGACAATTTTGCAAAGAGGGAAAACTCTTCATCTGTCGTTAGTAGGAAAAATCAAGTAAGGCTTCATCTACACTCAAAACCAACTTTGTGCGACATATGTTAAAGTCACTTGCAGCTCAGCAGTATTCAACACAGTTCAGCCATGGCTTTGTGGATTGGGGCTAAATAATGCCATGACATGTTCAAAAACTATGCACTAGCGAAGTCTCTATGTGAGCTTCCCCGGTCCAAGAAGTTGTATATTTTAAACAATTATAAGGTCAGTTTCATTCTATAACGATTAAGAAGATAAAAAATAATACTTTTTGCTGCTATAGCCCTTCCACAAAATCTCACACTTCCAGAGCTCACATTAAATCCCAAACTCATTGACAGAATTGATCCTTTTCATTTGACACTGTGCTCCAATATTTAGGCCCTGAGATCTAAGCAGATGGACCCCTGTGCTTATGCAAAGCAGTAGTGAAATTATTGGGGCTCTGCACAGGGGCAGTATCTACTTGTACAAAATTCTTGTACAAAAATGCTCTATAGTATACAAAATTCAATGCAGGATCAGAGCCTTGATTTTGTAAAAGTGCCAGTCATTACTGTCCATTTCTCAAACAGTCTGCTTTGCCTGTGCACATTTTTCTTATTTTAATTTTTCAAAAACAATCTGGATACAAAACTATTGTCATTTACAACTGGTGCCGATTAACCCCTATAGCTTAATCATGTCCCCACTTCAGATAAACCCACCTCTCAGGGCTGTTTTAGGAAAATAGTACCAAGTCTTACCTTTTGTTTAATTACTCTAGGATAGTATTTCACTGATCGAGCCCAGAAGGAATATCTTTCACTATTTCCAGCAGGATTATTCAAATCTAGATAAGCAAGGCCTGCAACAGCCGCTGGATTTCCTCCCTCTACATAGGGATCACCTCTAATCTGATTCTGACTGACTCCTACACATTCAGGGGTGAGAAATACAGAAAACCAGTATTGATATGTTTTCATGTAGCAATAGAAATAATGCAAATACCTGTGCAAGCAATTAAAGGGCACATCAGTAGAGAATTTAAGTAATATAGCACAAGTATCCTAGAATGGTAATAGCGGGCCAAATCCTGAAATGGTGTTTCCCAACCATGGGAGGACCTGACTAGGGCAAAAGTGCAGATAGGGAAAGCAGCATGGCTCTGGAATCATTCCAACTCCTTACAGCAGAAATGCTGTTTTGAGTAAAGAAGGTGCGCGTCTTTTAGAAACCCTCCTTTATCCCCTACTTCTGCGGTGGCTCTTAATGCAAATAGCCACTGGAGCAGCTCACCAGCCCAAGCTTTGTGTGTCTGTCTTGTAACACACAGCTCAGCTCTGCAAGTGTGTGTCTATTGCTCCATAGAACTACCCATGGATGCTCCTCACCCTGAGCTGCAGGTGGCCTCCTGGTGAGGAAAGGAGCACATAACAAGTGAAAAACAAATAGAAAGCAGACAAGAGTGAATTAGAGGAGTAGGATGGAGAACTGGAGAGGGGAGAAGGGACAGAAAAAAAGTAGATGTATAGGCCTGGATCCACCAAGGGACTTAGCCATTGCAGTGCTAAAGATCACAACACCTAACTTTTAGGCACCTAGACAATCACAGGAACAACATTGCAATTCACAAAGCCTGAGTTAGGTGTCCTGAACAATGCATGAGGAGAGACAGGCACCTAAGAATGCAATCCACAATGCCAGCATGCTAGGCAGGGAGCCTCCTAAGCCAGCCAATGGGAGATGCTGATAAGAGGGATGTGTGCTAAGCCCTGCCCTTGTCACAGAGGTAGGCATCTAAGTCCAGGCTGCAGGGAGGCACCTATCTCTGCTAGCAGTTCATGAACGGGACCCCCCTCTCCTGGAGTCAGGTGACTTAGATGCCTAAGTCATTGTTTGTGAGAAACACTCCACACACAATGAGAGGAGGTGGAAGTGGTGCTGATGGTGCCCACTTTATAACTTTTAGCCCGATAGCAAGTGCTTTAACCACTGGGCTAAAAGTTATAAGGTTAGCACCCCATCACCATTCCTCTTACTCCCCACCAGATTTTGAGTGGGACCCACTCTGGTGGGCAGCCTCGGAGCACGCCTACCAGATTGGATCCCACGTGAGATAGGCACTTCTCCGCCTACCTTCCCCCACTTTGTGAATCACTCTGGGGCAACAGATAGATTTCCAGATGCCTAGAGTAAGGCAGTAGTGCACCCAGAGACACCTATGGAACTGTTACAGTAGAAATTTAGTGCCAAGTGAATTAAGCACCTACAGAACTAGGTGGCAGCCAAACAGAAGGTTTGTTGATCACACTGGTGCATACACCTGGGACTTAGTCTTCTAAATACTTTTGTGGATCTGGGTCATTGCAACTGTGAATGAGTATGGCTCAAGGGATGTGGAAGAGAGGCTATCCACAAATCTACCACCAGGTGGGCTCTAATCAAGTCAGGCTGGGAATAGCTGTCATAAAATCATAGATTTGTAGGGCTGGAAGGGACCTTGAGAAAACATCTAGTCCATCCCCCTGCACTGAAGCAAGGCCATCCCAACAGGTGTTTGTCCAACCTGCTCTTAAACACTTCCAATGACAAGGCTTCCACACCCTCCCTTGGAAACCTATTCCAGAGCTTAACTGCCCTTATAGTTAGAATTTTTTCCTAATATCTAACCTAAATCTCCCTTGCTGGAGATAAAGCTAATTACTTCTTGTCCTAGCTTCAGTCCTCTTTATTAACATATTTGAAGACTGTTATCAGGTGCCCCCCCTCCCCATCTTCTTTTCTCAAGACTAAATAAGCCTGGGGTTTTTTAACCTGTCCTCACAGGTCGGATTTTCTAAACCTTTATCATTTTTGTTGCTTTCCTCTGGCCTCTCTCCAATTTGTCCACATCTTTCCTAAAGTATGGCACCCAAAACTGGACACAGTTCTCCAGATGAGGACTCATCAGTGCCAAGTAGAGAGGGTAAATTACCCCCCATGTCTTACATACAAAACTCCTGTTAATACACCCCAGAACGATATTAGCCTTTTTCACAACTGCATCACATTGTTGGCTTATTTTCAATTTGTGATCCACTAGAACCCCCAGATCCTTTTCAGCTACTGCCTAGCCAATTATTCCCCATTTTGTATTTGTGCATTTGATTTTTCCTTCCAAGTGTAGTAGCTGGCACTTGGCTTTATTGAATTTCATCTTGTTGATTTTAGACCAATTCTCTAATTTGTCAAGATCATGTTGAATTCTCATCCTGTCCTTCAAAGTGCTTGTGAACCTTCTTAGTTTGGTGTCATCCACAAATTTTATAAGCATACCCTCCATTCTGTTACAAGACATTAATGAAAATATTAACTAGTACAGGACCCACAACTACCCCTGCGGGATCCCAGTAGATAAGTCTCCCCAGTTTGACATGAACCATTGACATCTCCACTTTGAGTATGGTCTTTCATCCAGTTTTGCACCCATCTTATAGTAATGTAATCTAGACCATATGTGAACGTCCTGTGGGACTGTGTCAAAAGCCTTACTAAAATCGAGGTATATCACATCTACTGCTTCTCCCCTATCCAATAGGTCAGTAACCGTGTCAAAGAAGGAAATTGGGTTGGGGGTATGATTTGTTCTTGACAAATCCATGGTGGCTATTACCCTATTATCCTGTCCTGAGAGATGCTGAGCACTTGCCATTCCTACTGAAGCTCAGCACCTGCCAGGATTGGCCTAGTGACCAAACGGATGAAAGGGACGGCTTTGCATTTGTTTTTTCTGCTCATTCCACCAACTTACACAATATTTTGACAATTGTGATACCTTTTCCAAGCTCCTCAAATGTTAACCCACTTATATCTGAAATCTCGATTATGTCACCAGACATGCATCATTTACAGTGAAAACTCAGTCCCTCTTATCTGAAACCTGTTTATGCAAATATATTCCCTGTAATTCCATTCAGATAGTCAGGGTTCCACTACATCCAAAAAGCCCTTCTGTTTTATTGATCTCCCCCAGGTAACCAGTTCTGACATATCCCGCAGTGCAAGAAATCTCTGTGCCGTGGAATCATTTACCTGAAGAGGATTTTAACAGCTCATCCAGTTTTGAGCAGGTAGTCTTTTTCTTTTTTACGATGAGTAAGTTCCAACCTGATGATGTACATTTGTACATGTCTGTAATACTCAAACCTGGAAAGAAATAGATCCAGTCACCTTCACAGTAGGCTGAAAATTAATTTCTGCTTTTGGATTCATGTGTGAGGCTCCCATTGACTGAGGGCCCACTTTAGGAATAGAACAACTGCAACATTTTCTTGAAGGAGGAGACAACTACAAAGCAGATCCCATGCTAAGGGTTACCAGTAACCAGTAGCTATCCCTAAGGATACTGGCAGAAAGCTGAATGATGTATTTGCCTGATATATTATTTCCTTTTTTCTGATTTATCCTTTTTCTGACCCCACCCCTGCCCTTCCAGCAATGGTTGTGTCTTTGAGTATCACCATATGTGCAGTTTTGCCCTTTGCTTTGTTTTTATTTTGTTCGGCCTTTGCTAGAGACGGACTTTAATCACACCTCATATCCAAACACCTCTGAACTTTGGGGCTGTTCAAAAGCCAAACCAGGATTGGGATCCAAATTTTTCAAATGGCTCTTTACATATATAATGCGTGGAACCAAATGTATAATAGGCTAAACCCCAAATCCAAATCTCCCTGAACTTTGAATATTCAACACCCAGGGCCAGATCGGGATCTAAAGATAGCAGCTTGAGCCCACCTCTAGTTTATTATCAATAAGGAGAGTCTCTGGCGACTGACTGGTGAGAAAGCAGTCTCTTTATTTTTGTTTTATTTGCTAGCTGGGAGGATCTAGAGAGCAGTTTCTTCACTTGTTCATTCTCTTGGTTCATTGTAACAAATGCAGTACTCTACCTTCTGCTTTGATTTTTTCAGTATCCATATAAAAGAGAACTTTGTAATGTCCTCCCAGAGATCCAGAGTGCAGGAAGTGAGTACCAAAATGTTCAATTAATCTTCGGTATGCACTATATTCATAGACAGCAGGAAGGTTGGCAAGCTCTTTCCAGAATGGCTCCGTAAGAGTTAGAAATTCTGGGTTGTTATTAATGAATTGAGCAACTTCCACATCATTCTCAACAACCATGAAGTGGTTACTCTAAGAGGATGAAAATAAATCAGTCATACAGCTATTTAAAAATGGAGTGGCTTCTGCCAATCAACTCCTCGGGATCCTGTACTTGCTAATGGATAATAGTTTCTACAAGTGTTCAGTATGTTACCCGTGCATTCTGATTCACTCCTGTCCTCAGGGCTTATCATTTATGTATGGCTCTTGTGATAAGGTGGTCTGTTTCTTTAACAGACTGGATTTTTGTTTTGTTTTGTTTTTCCCTGTGAAGTTCTGTTCTTCCTCCTGTAGTGGGGTTTTCTGTTTTGTGTGATAGGACCGTCTGAATGAATGTGATATGAATAGTGTGGGAGGTAGACAAAATCACTTTTTTTTTCCTTTTTAATGACTGCAAATTCTTTCTTCACTCTCCACCTCCCAAAAAAGCTTCAAAGGGACAAATAGGCAAATGCATATTCCTGTGTAAAAGTTAATGGTGGTTGCCAGGCATTAAGGTGCCTGGCAGAGCCTGATTAATGAGCCCGGCTGAAGACAAAGGTACTGCAGTTCAGCAAAAGGGAAACTGAGGCACCAGAAAATTCTCTTTTCTTTGCACCCTGACTGGTCTGGAGCACCCTTTTCTTTATAAGTTCCCCACTCACTCTTGTCTTTGTGATAGCTTCTCAGACACATTCCCACAATAAATATGGTCTTCTCAGCTTTTCTTCCAGTTAAAAAATAAGCATTATTTTGAACTTATTTACTGTAAGTATCAACATATGTAATCAGTGTACACATTTCAGTGTACTAACAACAGAAGGGTAGTTTCTGTCAGCTTGGTGGCAATTATATTATGAGCTAAAAACATATTAGCCTTCAGCGTCTGAGTTTATTTAGCCCAAGATACTAATATTACCATATAAACGGGAAGCACTCAAGTTATTGAATTAATACTTGTTTTTAGTTAACTCCAAATTATAGGCACATAGGAGACAAAGGTACTTTATAAAGGAGTAGGTAAAGCTCTCAGTAGAGTTCAATTCTGAAATACAATTTTTCTTGTGGGTAGGCAAAACAAATTTTAACCCCTCATTGTAGATTTTTTTTAATTGCCTCTAAATGCTGACGAATGTAATAAAAAAGGCAAAGAGAAAACAACATTTAAATGAACTGTTCAGAAGAAAATTATCAGCATAGAGAATATTATTCAGTTATTAACCAGTCTTTCTTTCCTTATTGCAAAAGCAGCCAATAAATCAAATGAATAGATAATAAGCAATTACTATGGCAACAAATAAACTAACATAACCCAGACCAGTGACCTCTTTGTATAGATCTTTGGGGGATTATGTTTGTTTTGTCTAAATTGCACCAAAAGTACCAGGATAAAACAAAAAAATGGTCATGGAGATGTTCAAATTATAAAACAGCATTGAAGGGAGGAAGACTTTAATCATTCAGGGGAAATTCTAAGCCAAAAAGACAGTTTTACATACCTTTTTGCTGCTTTTCTCCTGTGTCTTTTGTGAATAGTAATGGCCACTGTTTGATCGTACATTGTGCACTGTGTGTTTCATATAAGACCAGCTACTGTTGTAAAACTCATAGCTAAAATCATTCTGAATTTTCACCTAGAAAAAAGGAAAATGCAGTTCTTTATGAATGGCTGTTAGAAGCACATGCACTTCCTGGCATAGAGCGACTAGGAAGATTTCTTTGGGTTGAATACATTCTAGATGGTGTATGAATACAGGATAAAGCAAATATCTTTACACAATCATGGCAGTAGTATGGCAGTGGATTTAAGGACTGACCCTGTTCCCACTGATGTCAATGGGAGCAGGATCAAGCCCATTAATGATATGACAGTGAACAAAGCATTCCTCTGAAAGGGATGTAATATATCTCTGCAAATGTCCTAAGAAGCATATGCATGCTATACTTCTAAAGAATGAGCAGGTGCATTAGCTGCTCAAGTTCAGAGAAAACCAAGTGAGGACAGAGCCCTGCGCTCTGTAAAGATCTGGCCCTGAGAGATGAAGACTATGTCTACCACACTTTGGCCCTCATCTTGCAAACATGTATGCACATGCTTAACTTTAAGCCATTATTTGGTTATAATCTTCTCTCTGAAGCCCTCAATGAGTTGAACACATTCCATGGGCACGCAATGCTTCTATTGAAATAAAGGGTGCACAGGATCAAGACCTTGATCTAAGCAATAACATTCAGGGGTCTATTCCTTTCTTCTAGTGATAAATCCTCCACTTTACATCTATTAAAACTACTAAACATATATACAATTTTCTGGGAAGAGATAAACTTAACTCTAAGTAGATCCATGAGCTAGATTCTCACCTGGTGTAACTTGGCATAACTCCATAGACTGACAGAGCTATGCCAAATTTCACCAGCTGAGAATCTGGCACGTGGTCTCCAACACTGCTTTTTTGCTGTTGGCAATCCTGTTCCTTAAATGCATGGGCTGTTCAGGAGACAGTTACCCAGCTCTGTTCAGCTCAATGGTGTTGGCTGCTCCTCTCTCTGGATTTAATCTTGTGAGAGGTGCTGAGTATTGACTTTCCCAGGGCCAGATTTCCAATTAGGTACAGTAGGCAGGTGCCTAGGGATGCCAGCATTCTAGGGGCACCTTACTTCTCTAAAACTGTGTGCAGCATGAAGGTCAGCTATAGGCGGGGGGGCACTGAAGATGCTGTGCCTAGGGGCGCATAAGGCGAAAATCCAGCCCTGGATTTCCCCTTGGAGACTGGCCAGGTGAAGGAGCCACCATCTAATTGAACCAGCAAACCAGACAGCTGGGGCTGGCTGAGTGCATGTCTGCCACTCTTTCCAGGAAGCTTGCCACCCTCATGAAACCTTTCATGTTTCGCATTATTCTCCCAGGTCTAAATATGACTCTAAAAACAAGGCTATAGTAAAGCAAACATACTTGGAATGTGTAGGCAAGAAGGCTTTCACTCAGTCGGTAGTATTCTCTCTGATCACCACTAAACACCTTTCTGCACTGTCCACCAAAACTTTTAGTATGAATCACTCTCCCCCTAGTCTCACCAGAAATGGCATCAAAGCTGCAAGAGAGAAAATACAAAAGATAGCTTCAGGTAGCAGAGTCACTGAGAAGAATGCATGGTTGACAGGATGTTAAAACTACAAAAAGCTGTTGTAATTGAATAGCGTTACATCTGCATATAACAATCAAAAATAGACTTAGGGCCTGTGTAGTCAGCAAATTAGTGCACAGCAAGCCGGAGAGGTGCACTAGCTGCCTATGTGGACACTGCTACCGTGCGCTAAAAGTTCCATAGTGAGCACTGATGTACTAATGTTTGAAATGGGAGTATGCCAAAGTGTACAACGGAATTTTTAGTGCACTGCAGCAGGGTCCACATGGTGAGTTAGCATGTGGCAAACTAATGCCCTGTTGATTTACACCCTGGCTTGCCATGTGCTAACTCACCATGTAGACAAGCCATTACATAAGAAAATAGGACACTATATTATAGACTCCTAGGTGGGCATAAAAGTACCGCACATACATACTAGAGTAGGGAAAGTAAAATGCCATTCTTAATTGTGTCAGCAATGAGTACATATTTCACACCTGCTAACTCCAATACATTTGTATCTATGGCAACTACTTATGTTTAGCTATATCCGCAAAATGCCCAATCCATTACAAACTTCACTCCTCTTTATCACATCTGAGCTAAGATCATTCTCAAGGCGATAGGGCTACATTAAACAAGTTAAAGATAATCATTTTGTTATGCTAATACTTCTGTATATGTAGCTGAGGTCATTAAAGAGTATAGATCCACAATGCTATTGCATAGCAGTATTCCTTTAGAAAAAAGCAACTGCTACTGCTATGCCTTTAGAAACCTGACTATTACCTGTCCTGGTTATAGACAACTAGTTTGCAACATTTCATTTCAAATTAAAAAGATGTGTTTAAGTTGCAGAAGTGCAACTGTTTCAAATCATTGTTCAAAATCAAAAGGCCAGATTCATAGTTATACTCTGGCTGCCTTAAGATGGTTCTGTGAAGCAAGACAGCTATAAACCCAGTTAAAATAGGTTCCTAGCTGCTTTGTATTGGTGAAGCCAGAGCACAGCAGCCAGATCATAGCAGTGAATCTTGTCCAAAAATTATACCTATATTGAGATCTTAGGCCTGATTCTCCACCACCATGCACCTTCCTTAATCATCACACTTATACAAAGTCATTGTAAAATGCTACCATTTTGATTTGGGTGCATTGTATATACGCAGTACACAGGTGTCAATGACTACTCAAAGTGTAAGTCAGGGAAGAACTAGGCTCTTTTAGTATAAAATTTCAGCTCATAGGGCCAAATTCTGCAATCATATCTCTGTTTGCAACTCCCTTTGAAGTCAATGGAAGTTATATGTGTGTATCTGAGGAGAAAATTTCACACCCATAATGAAAACATATGGCAAAGCTATGAAGTCCTTCAATCATCTGTTTACTCTATCTAAATTGGCAGACTAGAGCAAGAAAGAGGTTGTAATGTGCTATACACTGTACATGTGTATTGCTGCCTTCTGTTAGGTAGAATGCCTGCTCATAAACAATTGTTATAGATTATGGTACACTTTAATGAATGCCCTCTAGAGAGACTGTAAGCTCTAATTCTACTCTAGCTAAAGGAGACTTTTCTTTAGTGCTGCTGTTTGTCCAGCACCTAGCACAATGGGGTCCTGGTCCATGACTGTGACTCCTAGGCACTACGGTTAACACAAATAATAAAATAGTAAAAATAATAGTCTTGAGATCGGGAGCTGATCCCTCTGTTGCATGTGAGCAGGTTAACTGGAGGCCAAGATGTTTGTCTCTATCTAGTCACAGATTTGTTGTAAAAATACAACTAGCACAGATATTGCTGTAACACATAAGATGAGATCTGCAGAGAAGCTTACCCAGCTCCTGTAAGTTCTGAATTAGGAGGCATTTTATTAATGTCACAAGCTGGTCTGCTCTCTTCACACCGATCCTCATCAGCACCGTCTTCCTCACAATCCTGGTCTCCATTGCACACCAGAGATTTGCTAATGCATTGACCTAAAACCAAAACAAAAAAATCTCAGGGCAAAGGAGAAACATGTTTGTCCATCTGGATACACAGCAGCTAAAATTAAAGCATGTTAATTAGCCGATTTAATCCCACATTCTCATTTTGTGCAGTTCTAATTAAAAACAAGCTTTAAGAAAAATTATGGAAACTCAAGAAAAAACTTGGACTCGGGGGCCTGGCTCTGTGACCGATATATCTCTGGAAGACCAAGGTTCAAATCCTGTTTTTGGCAATAGTCAAAAAGCAACACTATGTCTCTAAAAAATGACACTTGAATTGAACAGAGGGAATTTCAGAGCATGTTTTAAACATATAGCTAGGTTTGCTGGAGCGTATACACTAGAATGCAACCTTTAATTACGTGCTCATATATTGGGCCTGATTCTTCTCTGGTTTAGACCAGTTTTACTTCATTGTAACACCACTGATGGCAGCTGAGTTACACCTGATTTACACTGGTGTAAGAGAGGGGAGAACTGGGCTCATCATTTCCACACAACCCCTAACTCATTCAGTGTGCTGATTGGCCAGTCAGCAGTGGTTGTGAACTATGCAATTATAACACAGAAAATCCATCATTCCATTTATTCTGGTGTAACAGAGCAAAACTGGGCCCTCTGTGTGCAGGCTGAACAGTGGGCATACAGGAGTGCTGGTGTCATAATAGTATGTGATCATGTAAAATAATATAGTGGGGCAGGGGAGATGCATGGGGGGGGGTGACGGGTGAAGGGTCACATGCTCCTCCCCAATTGCCTGGGATGAGGCAAGGACCCAGCAGCACCCAGGGGTCAGAGCTTGAGGGTGGAATGTGATGAGTTCTATGCTACTAATGACTTCCCTCCTTGGTGCAGGGAGTTTGTTTATAAACAGAGGCAGGGTGCTTAAGATAACAAAAGGCTTGTCATTAAATTAAATTAAGGATCATTAGATGAGCCTGAAAGCATTCCCAGGCACTCCAGTTAAAAGACAGGAAACAAAGGGTAGGAATAAATAGTCCATTTTCAGAATGGAGAGAAGTAAATAGAGGTGTCCCCAGGGGTCTGTACTGGTCTGAGATCAGTGCTGTTCAACATATTCATAAATGATCTGCAAAAGGGGGTAAACAGTGAGGTGCCAAAGTTTGCAGATGATACAAAATTACTCAAGATAGTTAAGTCAAAAACAGACTGCAAAGAGTTACAAAGGGATCTCACAAAATTGGTTGACTTGGCAATAGGGTTGCCAACTTTCTAATCGCACAAAACTGAAAACTCTAGCCCCCCGCCTTCCCCGAGGCCCTGCCCTCCACTCACCACATTCCCCGCTCCCTCAGTGGCTCTCTCTCCCACACCCTCACTCACTTTCACTGGGCTGGAGCAGGGGATTGGGGTGCAGGAGGGGGTGAGGGCTCTAACTGGGAGTGTGGGTTCTGGGATGGGGCCAGAAATGAGGGGTTCAGGGTGAGGGAAGGGACTCCAGGCTGGGGCAGGGGTTGGGGTGCAGGGGGGGTGAGGGCTCCATCTGGGGGTGCAGGCTCTGGAGTGGGGCTGGAGATGAGGGTTTGGGGTGCAGGAGGGGGCTTCAGGTTACCTCCGGCAGCTCCCGGTCAGCGGTGCAGTGGGGCGGGGGGGCGGCGCTAAGGCAGGCTCTGCATGCTGCTCTTGCCCACAGGCACCATCTCCGCAGCTCCCATTGGCCGCAGTTCCTGGCCAGTGGGAGTGCGGAGCCAGTGCTCAGGGCAGTGCACAGAGATCTGTGCCCCCTTCTCCCACACAGGAACCAGACCTGCTGGCCGCTTCCAGGGTGCAGCACGGAGCCAGGACATGTAGGAAGTAGCCTGCCTTAACTCTGCAGCACCGCTGACCAGACTTTTAACAGCGCGGTCAGTGGTGCTGACCGGAGCCGCCAGGGTCCCTTTTCAACCAGGTGTTCCAGTTGAAAACCGAACGCCTGGTCACCCTATTTGGCAAGAAAATGGCAGATGAAATTCAATGTTAAATGCAAAGTAATGCACATGGCAAAATATAAACCCAACTATATGTACAAAATGATGGTGCCTAAATTAGCTGTTACCCATCAAGAAAGAGATCTTGGACTCATTTTCAGTACTCTGGAAGCACTATATTTCCAGAGTACTGCAAATGTATAAGAAACCTTCTCACTGTGCCTGTATCATCCTGTACTCATTCTCCAGCTTCAGAAGACTTAAAAATTATCTCCAGTCATCAGTGGGACAGATGCAACTGAATAATGCAGCTGTCCTTAATGTGCAGGTTATGGGGGGGTGGCCATTTGCCCCCCCCCTTTAGATGGTGCCCCCTTTTGTGTCCCTCCAACGTGTCAGTGGGGTAAGGCATATATGCACAGAGGGACCACAGCAAGGCTATATAGTGGGTTAATAAGGCTGTGTCTGATCTTTGGCCTGTGAATTTCTTTCCTGTAAACACTGGAGCTTTCATCCTTTGATTTTATTTAACCTATGATACTGTGATTGTCTGATGAACAGGAAGCACCTTTACATAATCATCTTCATAACTTTAAGTATCAGAAAGTTATGAAAAATAAACTAAAATAAAGTACCTGAAAAGCACCTGAACCTATCACCACAGCCCTCCTCTGTTGGGCATCCTCTCGTAGGAACACATTGTCGTGTTTCAAAGGCACTCCCAACACATGGGTTTCCCCCATACTGGCCATAAACTGCTATTGTCCGTCTGCGAATCTGAATGCAAATCAATAGAAACCTTTAGAAAGTGTAAACCTAAAGCAGAAATATTAGACTGCTTTCATGACAGCACAACAAATCCTTTGCTGTAATTAATTGAAACGTTTATTTACGTTTCCTGAAAACAAAGACACTACTCCTCATGTTACTACAAACTAACAACATATCAATAAAAAATGGTTTTACAGAAAGGACTCTACTCTTTTTAGCCCTAGTAGACTAATCAACCCAATTGCTCTGTTCTAAAACCTAGGCGCCAACTGCAGCTAGTATGAGCCAGTTGAAAATACTGTCAAGTAACAGAGGGGTAGCCATGTTAGTCTGAATCTGTAAAAATCAACAGAGGGTCCTGTGGCACCTTTAAGACTAACAGAAGTATTGGAGCATAAGCTTTCGTGGGTGAATGCCCACTTCATCAGTCACAATACTGTACTCTTTTTGCATTTTATCAACATTTTTAATGGTGTTAGTCACTCTTGGAACTGACCTGCCAGAACTAAAATAAAACAGCCATCGATCCCAAGAGGAAGCAGGTAGTGCAAAGGAATGTGACAAAAACTAAAGTTAGACAAACTGGGGTTTTTTTTGCATCTCAAAACAAATTCAGGTTCATGTCAAGTCTTGAGAGAAAGTGCACACTGACCCTTTTTTAATCTGAACCCATCCATCCACCTATCCCTAATTAATGACTTATCAAAGGAAGCAATAAGGAATCTAAAAATCAAAAATATCTCTCACCTGAGTGAAAGTGCCAACATAGAAAACTTTCAGCTTGTTTCTACTGATTCCTGTTAGGAATGGAATGGAATGGAATGGAATGGAATGGAGCAATTGGGTCATCCAATAAAAACTAATAGAAATCAAAAACTAATATCAGCTGAAGAATTATAACAGAGTTTACTGGAATTTCCACTAGGACATTTTTTGTAACTATCACCAAAACGAAAACTGCTGAGTCAGTTATGCTTATGATTATTATCCTCCTTCCTAACATCAATGTCCTTTCCTTCTGCACTGTCAGCTCTTAGAATATCACATCCTTGCAGACACAAATCATATCCTTTAGGCTTTTGATCCTCTTACAGATATAACGCTACCATAATTATTATAAAAATGCATGTTAAGGAAAGCAAAAGGAAAAAAGCATTAATAGCATTATACCTGAGTTTTAGTGCAGCCATCACATTCAGACCAAGGGCCATAAGGATTCCAGTGGCAATTGACCGGAGAGGAAGGACTGCCTCAATATTATTTTTTGCATTATTAAAAAAACAGAAACAAATTATAAGGAATTGCAATGTCTCCATTCCTAAGCATTAGAGCCAAGTTTTCAGACACAGCTAAATGAATGTTGATTAAAAATATGGGGCCTGATTGGGCTCCTACTGAAACCAATGGGATTCACTCATCCTGCCACAGAAGAATAAAACTGACTCCCAACCCTTCTGTCTAACCACTAGACAGACAGGAGAAACTATCCCTGAGGAGGCACACGCTCAGTCCTGAATGCTCGCATAGACCATCTCAACACTATACACTGGGATACAGATTGTGTCAGCAGCACACAGCCCTGTGTCACGGGGATCGTGGGGAGGCCAGATTGCAGTGGGAACTCCCTGTGGAATTCACAGGCTCAGCCAGAATTCCCAGGAAGTGCACAATTCCCAGGAAGTGCTCCCCCTGAAGCTTGCCAGCTCTTTCAGTGTGTTCAGAAGGGAGGGAGGCAGTGGCCCGCCTCTCACCGCACTTCCCCCCTGCCACTGGAGTGGTTGGTGGCACTGACAGTGCTGATGGGGAAAGTGGCTCCACTCTCACCGGGCACAAGCTGAGACATTCCTTTAACCCTCTCCCCATGTTGTGGACCAGCCACGTCTATGTAAGCACTTCTATATACGTATATTAAACAATTCATAGTCATTCTTTAGCACACACCGTTCCAAATAAATACTCACCTGGAAAAAACTGGAAAGAAACCTGTAACTTCTACCAGAAGGAAAAACTCAAATACCTGATCAAGAAGGAGGGAAAACATTAGTTAATTTTCGGTTTGTTTTGCTTTTTCTTTTGCGTGCGTTTTGCCAACTTTGGGACCTGGTTGGCAGCCCTTACTCAGCCAAACTCCAATGCAAATAAATAATAATGGCACTGCTAATAATGATGTGAAATCTGAACACTCATCAGATTAGCCACCCAAACCGCTTTTTCTTGTTTGTCTACTTTATTGCAGTTTTATCCCATTACATTTCTCAGCCAAGGATCTTCCTTTTTAAATTAATAATTCATCTTATTCATTTCACTGGTAGAAATTAGCTAAGTGATTGTCTTACCTTCATGTTAGGAGAAACACTCAGATATCCAGCAACTCCCAGGGAAGAAATGTGCCTCCTTTGGGACTAGGAGGCAAGTCAGCAGCAGGAGGAGTCTGTCTGTCTCTTCTGGAGTCTCTCTGCCTTGCTGTTTTGCTTCTCTTTCACAGAAAGACTGAGCAATACAGAGGAATTTTAATCTTAACCCATTTAATCACCTCCTGGGACACAAACAGCCTGTTCTTGTAGCTGTTTAATATCTTAAAGACAGAATAATATACATATAAATCAAGGCTTGGCTATGCTAACTAGGGCTGGCATGAAACTATGGGAAGGACTCACTGAAAGAAAACTTAGTTTCTCTCCCTTTTTTCTATGGTGCAATGTCTTTCACTGTTCAGAGACCACAAGCCAGTTCTGACCTCAGTTACACAAATTCAGAGTCACTTCACTCTCTTCAATGGATGGAGTTACTCTGGTTTACACCTGTATGATTGAGTTTAGATTCTGGCCACAAATCCTTAGTACACACATCTGCAGTGGTGATGTGCAGTAGCAAGCCTAATCGCCACACATCAGTTTCTATCGTGAAAAATCAGGTCAGGGGCCAAGTATTCAAGGTCTAGATGCAAGTTTTGTTCTCAATCTTTCAATTGCCCCTGTTGCCCCACAGAGCCTCATTGTGAGTTCAATCCTTGAAGGGACCATTTGGGGATTTAGTGCGGGATTGGTCCTGCTTTGAGCAGGGGATTGGACTAGATGACCTCCTGAGGTCCCTTCTAACCCTGATATTCTATGATTTCAATGGAGCTCCATGCAGGGGTCTGTCTGTGTGGAGGCAGTTGCAGGATTGGGACATTTGTCTATGGGATACTCTCACTTTCTCAGAATTCTACTCCTTCCCCTACATGCCCTCTCACTTTCTCCCTAAATTCTTCTCTTCCATGGTGCTCTCTCCCTTCTTGAAGAATTGCCTCCCAATCCAGAAACACCATTAAGATGTTGCAGCTGGGGAAATTTGCACCAAAAGTAGAGAAAGTCCTTATGATGGGGTGAAGGTATTCTTCCTCCCAGGAAATTCTTTGGATGATACACACCATTCTGTACAATCTACTGTAATCCAAAGGTAAAACAATTGCTCTTCAGAAGTATTACTCTGCATCAGGAGGGTAATGAACATTCTACAGAGGAGTGGGAGTCCTTGAAGAAGTGGGTTTTAGCCCATGAAAGCTTATGCTCAAATAAATTTGTTAGTCTCTAAGGTGCCACAAGTACTCCTGTTCTTCTTGCTGTGATGTAGTAACTTCTGCATTGCACTAGGTGGAGGCTGTGTGCAGATTCATAGGTTCAGAGTTTAAAGCCAGAAGGAACCTTAGATATCTAGCCTGACATACAGTATAACACAGACCATTCATTTTCACCCACTTACCCCTGCATTGAGCTCAATAACTTGTGCTTGACTAAAGCATAACTTGTGTTTAGCTAAAGCATATCTTCTAAGAAGGCATCTAGTCTTGATGCAAAGATATCTAGAAGAGCTGGAGAATCCACTCCACTGATAGTTTGTTCCAATGGTTAATCACTCTCAGTGTTAAAAATGTGTGCCTCATTTCTAATTTGAATTTGTCTGGTTTCAGTGACCTGCCATTGGTTCTTGTTATGCCTTTCTCCTCAGATTGATGAGCCCTTTCCTACCCAGTATCTTCTCCCTGTGAAGATTCTTATACACTATAATCAAGTCACCTCTCAGCCTTCATTATGATAAACTAAACAGATTGAACTCGGATTGACAAACTAAACAGACTGAGCTCTCTTATGAGGCATTTTCTCCAGCTCCTGAATCATTTTTGTGGCTCTTTTCTGCGCTCTCTCTAATTTTTCAGCACCATTTTTGAAATGAGGACACCAGAACTATACATAGTATTGCAGTATCCGCCTCACCAATGCCACATATGGAGGTAAAATCACCTCCTTACTCCTACTCACCTGTTTATGCATCCCAGGAATGAATTAGCCCTTTTTGCCACATCATTGCACTGAGCTGATTGTCCACTATGTCCCCTAAACCCTTTTCACTGTCACTGCTTTCCAGGATACCCCCATTCTGTCGGTATGGCCTACATTCCTTCTGCCTAGATGTGGATTCCTAGCATAATTATTCCTTGCTCCTAGATCTGGGGTCGTGTTTCTCTGTTTAAGTCAGGGATGATGATGACCTGTTTGCTAGAAGAAAACAGTTCCAGAGCCAATTTAGCTGTATCAGGAGCCTGCTTCAGAGACTCTTCAGGCTCTGTAATGGCAAACCCTTTTGATAATGTGATCTATGCTGTTTGAAGATACTGTTTGTTTCTTTATTATTTTACTTGTCTTAGCCCATATCCAGGACTTGGAGTCCTCATTCAATTTGTACTCATTGCTTACACTAGCAACCTCCCCAACTCCTTCTTGCCCACCATCTCACAGTGAAGTCAGTCTTCTCTGTAGTCTAGACACTTTCTCTACTTGAAACTAATTGATAGGATGGAAGAATATTGCAAAGTCATAGTTTGTCCCACCAACATATCCTTTTTTTCTGTCACTAAGGCCATGTCTACAATAGAGAGTTAAGTCAACTTAAGTTATGTCAACTATCATAAACCACTGTAATTACATTGCTTGTGCATGTTCACGCAATGCTCCTTGTGTCGGCGAAGCACACTCACAGTTGGTGCTGTAACACCGACAGAGAGAGCAGAGCACCGTGGGTAGCTATCTCACTGTTAAAATCGCCACCTTCTCCTGCTAGGAGTTCTGGGAATGGATTGCAGTGCATCGTGCAGTGCATCAAAAAAAGAAATAGATAAATTCATGGAGGATAGGTCCATTGATGATTATTAGCCAGGATGGGCAGAGATGGTGTCCTTAGCCTCTGTTTGCCAGAAGCTGGGAATGGGCGACAGGGGATGGATCACTTGTTCTGTTCATTCCCTCAGAGGCACCTGGCATTGGCCACTGTCAAAAGACAGGATACTGGACTAGATGGACCTTTGGTCTGACTCTGTATGGTTGTTCTTATGTTCTTATGGGGGCGGGATCACTTCCCCATGAAGGAGTTTTCTCCATTCCATGATTCCAAGGGCTTCTGATTGTGTTGTGTGTTGTTTTTCAACTGCCCCTGTAAAATGTGTGCCCACCATCTCTGCTGTGTGGAAGCTGGCAATACCGGTCAGTCATGAATCAGTTTGGAGTTGGGAAGTCCACTGTGGAGGTTGCAGTGATGCAAGTGTGCAGGGCCATTAATCTCCTCCTGCTACAAAGGACTGTGACTCTGGGTAATGTGCAGGAAATATTAAATGGCTTTGCGGCAGTGGGATTCCCTAACTGCCGTGGGGCAATAGCTGGCATGCATATCCCAATTTTGGCCCCAGACCATCTTGCGACAGAGTACATCAACAGAAAGGACTACTTCTCTATGGTACTGCAGGCCCTGGTGGCTCACTGGGGTCGTTTCACTGACATCAACACAGGGTGATGAGGGAAGGTGCATGACATCTTCAGGAACACTGGCCTATATAGAAAGCTGCATGCAGGGACTTTCCTTCCAGACCAGAAGATTCCAATAGGGGATGTGGAAATGCCCATAGTGATCCTGGGAGTGATCCATAGTGATCCAGCCTACCTCTTACTCCCGTGGCTCATGAAGCCTTACACCACAGAGCACTTCAACAACAGGCTCAGCAGGTACAGAATGACTGTAGAATGTGCATTTGGCAGATTAAAGGGTCACTGGTGCTGCCTATTTGGCAATTAGCCCTCAATGAGGAAAATATTCCCATGGTCATAGCAGCCTGCTGTGCTCTGCATAACATTTGTGAAGCCGGGGGATAAAGTTTCCCCAGAGGTGAAGCACTGAAGTGGATCTCCTGGCAGCTGATTTTGAGCACCCAGACACTAGGGCTATTAGAGGGGCTCAATGGGAGGGGTTGGTGGGCTATACAAATCAAGGAGGTTTTGAAGGAGCATTTTGACAATGAGCTCCAGTAATGTGTCTTTCTGTAATGAATTGAGCCAAGCATTGTTTACTTGCCACATTGAATGACCCCTGTAATGATTCTTGCCTGAGTGTTAATTGTAGTCTGCAAATGTGCCAATTGCCACTGTGTATGAATTTTTGTTGCAACCACCCTGTGTAGGTCACAGATAAAGAATCACTGTCTTTATAAGACTAAATTTTTATTAAACAGCAATACACAGATTAACATTTCTTACAAGGGACATGACAGTGAGCAGCACCCTCTGATGTGAGGATCTCACAGCTGAGTGTAAGTCCAGCTACCATTTTGGGAAATGTCCCTAAGGGTGGAGTGCAAGGGGTACTGTGATGGGCCAGGAACATAAGAGGAATGTGTGTAGGGAGTTTGGGGAGGGCAAAGAAGGCAGTTCTGTATGGGATGCACGGGGAGTCGAGCACACATGTACTCCGCCTTCAGTGCAATCAGGGACCTCAGCGTCTCTATTTGGTCCTCCGTGAGCTTTATTATCTACTCCTGACCCTGTATTATCCACTTCTGACTTTATCTCCTCTCCTGGCTATCCATTTCTAATTTTTCATTTATTGTCTCTCTCCATGCTCTGTGCTCACTATCGGCCTGATCTGATGATTGCAGCACTTTGCAAAACTCCTCCTCATTTGCTTCCTTATCTGACAGAGGTGCTACGCCAGTGTGTAGGGGCTGGCCCTCAAGAAACATTAAACAGAGTCTTGAATCAGAAAAGTTACACACACCTCTTTCTCACTTTCCCTTGCAAGCATGCAGCATGGCCAGAGCACCAAACATGGTGAATTTGGCTGGGGGGGGGGGGGGTGGTGCAAGATGGAACAAAGGATCTGGGTGGGTTCAGAAGGGGATCAGTAAAAGCACCTAGGGACACTATTCTGAATACTGGCACTGTTTTCCAGAAGCGGGAGTGATTGAAGCTGAAATCACACTACTGAGGGTAACCAAAGATGCAAGGGTGCATCTCCTGCATGCGTGCAGCTTCAGACTGGGTCCATATGCTGCTCACCTGTGTGTTGCTTTGGTTCTTGCAGAAGTAATTGCCGATTGGCATGGCAAAGTTTCCTACAATGGGGGAGGAAACAAGGCAGCTCTGTCAAGGAACTTTCGGCAGAGGATTGCAGAGTATCTGCAGGAGAGTTTCCTAGAGATCTCTATGGAGGA